GGCAGGTTTCTGCTGGGTCCTCTCCTGCGTTTCTGTCCTGTAAACAGATGGTGCCTTGGTCGTCCCTGTCCTGCCTCCACTCACGAGGGCCTCTTCCTCTGGCCTTTGCAGGCACTGCCAAGGATGTGCCACATGACAGTGACCACACTAGCACCTACTTTTGACCTGAGGCGCAGATATTTTGTTTCTGGTGCAGGCTTGAGCGCTGTTTCCATTGTGATCAGAATCAAAGCACAAGAATGCTCCCACTAAGAAGGTAATTTGTTATAAAGCTGAACCTCCACCTGCCCTATGACCCAGGAATTTTGCCCCCGTATATTGACCAGAAGAAATAAAAGCCCACATAAAATGTGCTCAGTGACACCTTCAGCAGCTCCATCAGTTTTCAAAATAGCCTCAAGTGCGAAACGGCCTACAGGATGAGAGAGAGGACAGGTAAGTGAATGCTGGACATTCATGCCATAGAGCACTGCACCACAAGAAAGGCCACTGCAGATGCGGCCACCGGACGGGTCACACGGCACGGTGCCAAGGATGGAGGTGGACACAGTGGCAGGTGCTGGCTGATCCCACTGGTGTGAAACTTTCCTGGACAAGACTCAGACAGGGTGGGCTGCAAAGCGGCTTGAATGGGATCCAGGGAATTTTCTGGGGTATAAAGAGGCGCCTCATCCTGGTGAGGACAGTTACAGAGATGTGCACACTTGCCAATACCTGTGCATTTCAATGTATATAAAGTAAATCAAAATTACATTAACTACAAAAAGATAAGGATTTTTAACAAAATTAAAAATTATACTTTAAAATTACAAATACTTGACAGGTGCTGCTGAGATGTCCTTGCTCCAACTCCTGGTTTTAGGACCAGGGCCATGGTGTGATGGATTTAATTAAGGGCTTTCTTACTATTAAGCCATCATTCCATTCATGAATAAACCCTAGTTGAGCATCAATAAGGACTGAGTTGTGTCCCTCCAACACATTGAAGCCTGAACCCCCATGTGGGGCAATGCCATCTGCCAGCTGTAGAGGGCCCTGAGGAGAACACCAGGCAGCACTTCTTGAGACCTCCAGCCTAAAGAGCTGTAAATGTCTGTTATTTGAGCCCCTGCGCGGTGTTCGCTTTTGACAGTCGAGCTGGTTAATGCAGCAATTGTGTATTGTTGACAGATGTGACTTGCTCCTGGGTGGAACCAGATGCCCCATCGACACAAGGAGGGCACAGTGCACTTGCACGGGTGGGGCGCGGGTGACATGGAGCTGGCACTATGACGGCAGCCTCCGTCTGGAGCTGAGCTGGGCAACGCCCTGGGCTCTGGAGCTCTGCTGAAGGGGCAGGGAGACCTGGAGGGGAGGGCAGCAGGCCTTGGGGCTCTGAGGATTTCAAGGTTCCACTGGAGGGACTAGCTGGGCCAAGAATGTGTAGCACGTGGTGTCCCAGGCCCAGTGGGCCACTGGCAGACAGTGGGTGCCTGGGGTGCAGACCACCATCCTCACTTGAAAGGTGGGTGAACACTGAACTTAGCTTAGAGCCTGTCTAGTGAGAAAGGTCTTGGAGACCCTTGCCCAGGACACAGACCCTAGTGAGGAGGGACTGGAAGATGTGCGCACATGTGTGCATGTGGGAGCATGTGTGTGTGCTCATGCACATGTGGGAAGAGGGAGTGTGCATGTGTGTCCTGTGTACATGTGTACGTGCATATGCACATGTGCATGTGTGTTTTGTGCAGTGTATACATGTGTGTGCACGTGTGTTCTGTGTGACATGTGTTTGTATACACGGTGTATATGCATGTGTGCACACTGGCAGTGGGAAGCTTAAGGGTAAACCCCAACAATCCCCACACTAGTAAGCATGGACCACAGTGAAAATCAAATTATTTTGTCAGCATCATCTGCTGACAGCCCTGGCTGCCAGTGAACAGAGAAGATCAGTGGGTGGGGCTGAGGGAGCAGGTGGGATGTGTGCAGGTCAGTGCAGGCGGGAAGCCTGGGAGCAGGGGACAGATGCAAAAACTGCCATGGCAAGTTGTGTCCAGGGAGAGGGGCTCCCCAGCAGAGAAGTGACATGTCCTGAAAGTGTCCACTGAACTAAAGACCACCAAAAAGAGTTCCCTGGAGTCACAGAAGAGGCCAGGCCCAGCAAACTCTGGACTGTTCCACAGGGAGGTGCAGCACCGCTGTCCGCAGCCCCGAGTGTGTGGCCATGGCACCTCGAGTGTAAACTCACATGGAACAGCCTGCCGCCTTATAATGTTTATTAACAGAGATGGTAGCCAGGAGCTCTGTCTTGGAAAGATGTAAATATTTTGATGTTCTCTACATTTTGCCCTCTGGTTTGCTTTCAGAATTTTTAAAGCTCTTGATGACAGGTTTTGTTTTTCCTGTTCTGTGTCCGCCAGTGGCAGTGATGCCCTTGATGTTGAGCAGAGCCAGGAGCACAGGGTGGGGGAGTGTGTGCTGTCCCCCTGCATAGCCCCTGGTGTGCCGGCCTCGTGAGTGCTCAGCTCCCAGGGCAGCTGGGGACCTGGAGACACTGACCACAGAATGGGTGCTCAGGGGGGTGCAGGTAGCTCCACAGAGAGAAGCTGTGTGGGGTCTGGGGCCCAGGCAGGCAGGACAGAGCAGGATTCTGGAGAGCCCAGACCACCCTCTCGTCCTCTCTCAACAGTGACAGAGGGTCCGAGGTGGGAAGTGGCAGGTGGGACTGATTCCAAAGCCCCTGACTCCTGTATCTGGTGTCCCTCAGGGCTGGCCAAGAAACACAGTGGACAGGATGCAAGGGAAGAGGCTTCCCTGCAGAGCTGGGGCAGTGGGGCTGGTGGGTCCAAGCCTGAAGTTTGGGCAGCAGCTCACAGCTCAGGAGTGCCAGTGCTGCCCACCATGCGGCCATGGCCATCTGTAGGGAACCCCCTTGCCTGGGGAGGCCACAGCAATCTGTGGAGAAGGCCTCCTGCCTGGGGAGGCTGGTCTCTTTGTTCTATTCAGGCCTGCAACTGATTGGACAAGGCCCACCCAGTAGCTTTCCCCAAGGTTCACAGATTTAAAAATTAATCTCACCCCAAAACTCACTCCCAGCTTTTGGCAGCCCCCACGGTGCTCCCAACCTGGGTGGTCTCCTACTAATCCTAGCATGGCCACTCTGCCTCTGAGGGCACTCGGGGAGTCCCACCAGTGGACTGAGCCCCAGGATGACCAGCCACTGCCCCTCCCTTGGGCCCTGCGCTCATGGCTGCAAGGCCCTGCCTACAGCCCCAGTTAAAATCAGGACTCCACCCAGAGGACCCCAGGAAGCATGGTGTGTCCCCTACACCCCCTCAGGTAGAGAGGGAAGATTAAGCCAAAAATATACAGGAAAGCCAATTACCTCTGACTGTGAGATGAATAACTCTCTTTAGTATAGTATGTCCTATTAATGTTTGGAATATACTAATACTAAAAAAGGCATTCATTGTTTCTCTGAAATTCAAATCTAACCAGGCACCTTATATTTTTACCTGGCATCCCTGGCCCACTCTCCTGGACCAGCAAATCTGGGGCTATCACTGTAGCCCACCTTCCCAGACACACTAGGGGTGGCAAGCTTGGGGAGGCAAGGCTCAGTGGTGACATGAGAGAATGCTCTTGAGTGGAAGGGAGGTCAAGGGCCTTCTGAGACGTCCTCAACTCCATGAGTGTCCAGCTTCACTGCAGCCATGAGCAGTCTACAGGGTGACCCAAAAGTGACCATGAACACTCTCACCTGCCTCACACCATGGAATCCCTCGGTGGACCATCTGGCCTAGTCTGCTCCAGGGCCCAGCATTAGAGGCTACTGTTCAGCCCTTGCCACACCCAATTGCTGTTGAGAACTGAGACAGGACGAGGGAGGAAGGAGGAGTGTCAGCAAGGTGACAACCTCCTAGGACAGCAGGGACAGACCCCATGGACATTAGGGACAGGCCCCTGTGGACGGCAGGACAGACAGAATCTCACTTTGTCACCCATGGTAGAGTGCCAAGGCATCATAGTTCACAGCAACCTCAAACTATCGCCTCAGCCTCCCAAGTAGCTGGGACTATAGTGCCGGCCACAACGCCTGTCTATTTTTGGAAATAAGGGCTCACTCTTGCTCAGAGCTGGTCTTGGCTTCCATGCTCTGACCAAAGTTTATTTTAGTTTTTTTATTATTTGTTAAGCAGGCCCAGGTGATTTGAACCCTCTGCCCCTCGTGTGCAGGGCTGGCACTTTAACCACTGAGCTACAGAGCCCAGCCCAACATTTCTTTTCTTTTCTTTTCTTTTCTTTTCTTTTTTTTGAGACAGACTCTCACTGGAAGGTGGCAAGGCTCTACCCTTCACCTCCTGGCTCTGTGGGCCCCATGGGGCCTTCCCAGCCCAGCCTCTGGTACTCAAATTGGCCTTGTGCCCTGGAAGCCTGTGTAGGGGTACTGCCTACCCTCTCCCCCAGTTTCTGGGGGTCAGCTCATCAGGCCCAGGGCACCCAGTGAGGCAGGTGCCCTGGGGCCTGGTGCAGGGTCAGGGTGTCTGTCAGACTCGGGAAGGATCCAGTGAGCACTTGTCCAAGAGGCTTTCTGAGTCCAGGCGATGAACCGTGAGACCAGCTGCAGAGACCAGGCAGTGGCCACCTGGAGCATGGCCAGGGAGGCAGACCTGGGCCAGAGGTCCCTGTGGGTGGGGCTTGCTGCGCCTGACCAGCCAGGTCCCCAGAGTATTTATGGGTGAACTAAGACTGGGGCCCCAAGTGCAGGGGAAATGGCCGCACTGCCCCCATTCTGCAAGACACACTCTGCAAGAAACACTGAGGAGGCGCAGTGCTTTTGTGAAGAGCAACATAAATATATTTCCACTCAGAGCGCAATAAATAGCTGGCAGTGAGCGCGTCTCACGCACACACCTGCTTCCGCACCTGGGCCCGAGGCCAGCGCCGGGACGTGCGCCGAGGCCCCCGGGTTTCTGAGGTAAAACTATGGAAACTTTTCCTTTAGGTGAGACCTGGGCACCCGGTTGGCTGGAGGAAGGCAGAGCCACCGCCTGCGGCATGGCACAGCCACCTGCCCAGGGCAAGTAAACTGCGCCTGGGAACAGGGACCACAGTGGCCCGGGGGCACCCCCTGCTGCCCAGACCCTCAGCGCGTCCTCAGCCGCAGCACCCTGGAGAGGGGCTCCTTGGCGCTGGAGTAGATGAGGTAGGCGCCGGCCGAGGTGTTGAAGGCCTCCCAGTCCCGGCAGCCGAAGGTGGGCAGGCTGTGCACTGCCACGAAGCCCTCGTAGCCCTGCCACCTGCGGGGACACATAGCGTCAGCCTGGCCTGCGGCGGGGAGGTGCCCTGCAGCCCTGCGCTGAGCAAGCTCCCCCGTCCTACTTGGAGACAGCGGGGCAGGAGGGTCCTCTTGTCTTGCAAAGCGGGAAACTGAGGCCAGAACAGGAAACTGCCCCCTCCGAGGCCCCACATTCCCTCACATCCCCCCAGATCCTGCTCCAGGCACCCTGAAACGTGTGGGAGGATGTGGGGATCCTAGCGATTCCCGGGCTATCCTGGGCTGTGAGGCACGTGCTCCTCCGTCCCCGGGCCCTTCTACCCTCAAACAGGGACACACTGCTGTCACCCCCACGGGAGCCCCAGGCCCCCAGCCTGCTGTCACCCCCACAGGAGCCCCAGGCCCCCAGCCTGCACATCTATCCACAGGGGGCACCGTCCTCATGGGGTGTGGTTCCCAGGCAGGGCTTCTAGACCAAACCACTTGAGCAGTTCTAATTTTAATACTGTTCCAGGTTCTTTCTGGAAAGGCCATGCTGACTCCTGTTCTCATCAGAACAGGACCCCCCAAGCCTCACCCTCTGCACTGCCTCTCTCTAAAAAGCTTCCAACTAATGGGCAGAAACTCTGTCATGGTTTTGATTTGAGAACAAACCACTGTTTAGTCACTTTTAAAGTTTTTTTCTCTTGTATATTCTTGTATATTCCTGCTTCTATCTTTTACTTTTTTTCCCAAATTAAACAAAAATATCTTTCACTCATTTGTAGAAGCTCCTTTTCTGTCGTGTGTGCGATGCGTCGTAGGCTGTCCTTTTCCAGGTGAAGCTTTGGGACTTAGGGAGTCAGGCCCAGCACTGAGCTCCAGCCCCGCCCTCCCTGGGTCTGCCCAGCGCTGAGCTCCAGCCGCGTCCTCCCTGGGAAGCTTCGAGCTCACACAGAGGCACTTTGCTTTTCTTGTAATATTTTTGTTGTGTGATTTCTTTTATACTTAGAATTTTAATCCACATAAAATCTATTTATGCTATGGAATAGGGGTACAGGTTTATTTTCTTCTAGATTACATGTAGCTAATCTTTCAAATTATGTAAAATTATTTTTATTAAGCAGGCTATCATTTTCTCATTGACTTCAGGTGTAACATTTATCACATAAAATTATCATAGATTGTTTGTTCTTCTGGACTCTATTCAATTCCACTTATACATTTTTTTATTTTTAGCAAAAATCATACTGCCATCTCTACATGCTGACCGGGCCTCCTCACTATTCTTCTTTGTCAAAAATTTCTTGGTCATCTTTGAAGATTTATCCTTTCACATGGATTTTAAAATTACTTTGTCAAATTGAAATGTCTACACTCATAAATTTCAACGTCTAAAGGAAAACTAGTGATTTTTCTAGTAATATAGATGACAAAAAAAAAAAAAACAAAACAAAAAACAACTGCCTCAAAAGGGATAAATCAATGATCATGGGAGAGACTAGAACATTTGTTCAAGAGATACTTTTAAAAAGGTACCAGGCCCAGGCTGGGCCCGGCGGCTCACGCCTGTCCTCCCAGCATTCTGGGAGGCTACTTTGGCCCCATGGCCTGTGACTCATCCTGAGCCTGTTGTCACCTGCAAGGGAAGTAGCCGCCCAAAGGGACCCAAGGTGGTGAGGGAGGATGGCACTTTACCTGTAAATAATACTGTTCACCAAGAAGGTATTTCCATCAAAGGAGTTCGCAACCACCAGGAAATAATCTTCTCCCACTGAGAAAAACTCCCAGTCCAGAGCACTGTGGAATAAATGAGCGATATCAGGACACAGAGCTGAGATGTTACCAGGAAACTGGGGTGTTGCACTGGACTCAACTCTCCTAATTCCAGAAGTTGGGGGGCCCTGCCCCAAAATTCACAGAAGAGGAACTGGGGCCCAAAGCAGGGGATGGTTTTCTCAAAGTTGCGCAGTGAGTTGGTCTATTCTGGGAGAAGGCAAATTAGTTGTTGGCTTAAAAAAAATTTTTTTTTTGAGACGGAGTCTCACTTTGTTGCCCCTTGTAGAGGGCTGTGGAGTCACAGCCCACAGCAACCTCAAATTCTTGGGCTCAAGCAATCCTCTTGCTTCAGCCCCCCACGTAGCTGGAACTATAGGCACCCGCCACAATGCCTGACTATTTTTCGAGATGGGTCTCGCTCTTGCTCACGTTGTTCTCAAACTCCTGAGCTCAGGCAATCCACCTGCCTTGGCCTCCCAGACTGCTAGGATTACAGATGTGAGCCACCGCACCTGGCCAGCTTAAAAATATTTTTTTTAATTTCATACCTAACACAAATTTAACATTTTAATCATTTTTAAGTGCACGTGCCTGTGGCACTAAACACCGTCACATTGTCACGTAGCCATCAGCAACACCCACCCCCAGAGCCTCACGTCTTGCAAAACTCTTTCCCCAGTACACAATAACCCTCCCCTTCCCCAGTGTCAGCGCCTGCATTCTACTCTCTGTCTCTAGGAATCTGGCCACTCTGGGGACTTCAGCCAAGTGGATTCAGGTAGTATTTGTCCTTTTGTGATGTAGCCAAATGTTCTCAAGTTCCCCCATTGTAGAATGTGCCAGATTTTCTCCCCTATTCAGGCTGAGTTATATCCTGTCCTATGCCACACTTGGTTTACCCAATGTCCATCCATGGACCCATGGACACTGGGTCATTCCACCTCTTGGCTAGAGTGCATAGTGCTACTATGGCTGCTGGGGTACAAAAGTCTATTTTTAAGAGGTTGAAATGATCAGAGAAAAAGTTCCAGGGCTCCAGCTCCCTCTGAAGGCAAGGACTTGAGGTCACCAGGTATGAGGTCACCCATTTGGAAACCCTGATCAGCCACCATCAGGTTCCCCGGGACCTGCTGACACACAGATGTTCTCCTGCACTTGGAAGCTGTTTCTTACTCCAAACCCATATGCTGAGTTCCGTGTTAGGTAAAGAGAGGGTGGGGATTTTTCATGTTGGAGGCTGCATTAATTTAGCTGTGATGAGCCCCTCAAGAAATTTTGTACCTTATTTTTGTAAAAACCTAACCACTATGTAATTAATGATTTCAAAAACTGAAAACTACCTGTTACTTTAAAGTTAGCTAACGTTTCAATGACTTGGTTGTGTCTGCATTTTGCTGGAAAGCATGTGAACATCTGGTTGCTGCATGGGGCTCCCAGTTTCAGCTGATCCTCTGGACGGTGTCAGTCATCTGTGACCTTAAGGGCGTCCTGATTTGGGTTGGGTAGGAGAATGCAGATTCGAAGAAGTAAGTGGTTAAAAAGCACAAAAGCATTTCAGGCCTGGTGTGGGTGTTCTACCACATTTTCCCCATTTCAATTGGATCTTTATCAGCATCACGCAGGGACTTTACAATGTCACCTACTGGGAGCTCAGTCAGTTCCATGTGAGGTTCTTCAGGTGCCTTGGTGACCTCAGCTCGGTGAGGCTGAAATGCTGATTGGATGTGACGTCATGATTCTCAGTGAACCTTTCACTGTATTCTCCATTAACAGGCCTGTGACAGCTGCGTGTTCCTCACATGATCTGCACATATCGTCCTGCTCATCAGGGACCTCGGCTAACTGGGAAGATGTCTGTTCCTCTGAAATTTCCTTGTGACGACGTGTTTTGAGAAAAGACAGCATTTTTCAAAATTCTTGGATTTTTTGCCACATTTCATATATAGACTTAGATTTATCTTGCAAAGAAATAGTCAAGCCATGTAGATTTGACATATCACACAAAAATGCTGAGTTCCTATAGAAATCTTTCAGCTCGGCACAGTGGCTTCCACCTGTAATCCCAGCACTCTGGGAGGCCTGTTGTTGAGCGCAGGAGTTTAAGACCAGCCTATGCAAGAGGGAGACCTTGTCTTTACTAAAAATAGAAAAGTAGCTAGGTGTTGTGGTGGGTAACTGTAGTCCCAGCTACTTGGGAGGCTGAGGCAGGAGGATCACTAGCTCAGGTGTCTGAAGCTGAAGTGAGCTATGATGACACCTTAGCACTGGAGCCTGGGCAACAGAGTGAGACTTGGTCTCAAAAAAAGAGAGAGAGAGAGAGAGAGAGAGAAAGAAGGAAATTTTCTTTCAATAATGCACATTGCTATCTCTGTTCTTTATATAATCTAACTCTATATTAGCTCACACCTGTCCCGGCAACAGCTAACACACTTTAGAATGACAAGGCAAATCCCCAGTAAAAGCCTCATCTTCCAACTTTAGCATGTTACAAAACTGCCCAAGGCCCTGTTGCATTTACACAAATATAGTTTACAATTCTTATAACTTGTTGCAAATTGTCTCTTAAAACAACAGCGTTAGCACAGAGGTTTTGCTAATGCAGGACACAGTGAAAAGAAATGAGTGCATCTGGATCTGTTGATACTTTTTAAAATCTGTGCCATAAACCCTTCAGGCTTCCCAGTCATGGGAGGAAGGTGCACTGTCTGTTCATACACTCACCAAATTACCAAATTCAGCCCAATTTCATGATACTGATCTTGAAAGTTGTGCATATCTATTCCCTGCATTCTATTTGCAGGGATGCCCAAAGTGAGTGACTCTTTCTAGCAAAGAAAATCTTCCATAATGACCCGACTGAAGTATAAAACCTGCACCAAGACAGTAGTATCAGTTGATTCATCCAGAGCAGGCATCCTCAAACTACAGCCTGCAGGCAACATGCAGCCCGTGGGGGTTTTGCCGCCCCTGCCTGTCCTGCTTAGCAGCCAACTCATCCCAGGGCCCGCTGTCTGGGCCTCCAACAGTCTGAGGGACAGTGAACTGGACCCCTCTTTAAAAAGTTTGAGGACCCCTGATCCAGAGCAACTGAGTAATATGTAACTTCCTTTTGAAGTATTGCATGAAGTTGTTCTGGGAAGCCTAACCCATACTCCCAATCAGTTATAGACCCCCTTGAAAGAGGCAGTTGTTGGTACTTTGAATCATTATTCAGATCTAAACATCCTACAACTTCACAATGCATTCTTTCACAGTTTCTACATCACTGAATGGCTTCCCTTTCCCCCCAAGTATATAAGCTACTTTATAAGTTGTTTCAACGGCATTATTTCCAGCTCTTATTGCTGCTTGAAAGAATTGTCTTTGCGTTTGCTTTTCATCTTTCAATTTCTACAATACAGCCTTTTTCGCCTCACCCTCTAATTTAAGATATCTGTGGTCCTTAGGAGTGTTATTCTGACACAGGCATTGAATTTCTTTAATGTTGGTACTGCATTATCACAAAGTAAGCAAATCATCTTAGCAGAAATAGATAATATTGCAATTTTCAATCCTCATTTAAAAGTCTGTTTCCTTCCTTCAGTGTTCTCTTGGTCTTCTCTGATGTCATGGGCCGTTAAGCAGACAGAATTAAAAATACTGTCGAGCTGTGCAGATACTCACAAATTCCACTTCAAACAGAAACACACTGCACTGTTGTCAAAACAGGCTGGTGAACTTGACCCCCCAAAACTCTCACCAACCAGCCTCACCGTGGTGGCACCAGTCAGGTGGGGGACGGGGTGGGGGGGTTAGAACTAAGTCCGGAGCATAGCAGGTCAGTTAAGCCTTTACAGTTCACTAATGTTCTTACCGGGCTGGTCAGTCTGGAGGATGATTTCCATGAAACTTATTTTATTCTTTGGAATTTTAAATATGTTCATTTTAAAAACAAAATAATAATATAAAAGATGAACAAAATATATTCATGAAAAGAAAAGCATTTGTTTTACAAAATTTGGATTCAGTCAAAAGGCTGTACTTAAGGACCTAGAAGGCCACAGTTTCCTCACCCCTGGGCAAGAGCCTCGCCTGAGCTGCTGAGTGGGCATCTGTGCTCGGGGCCAATTCCATTCCTGGGATCTGACAAGTGGCTGCCCCAGAGCCCTGTCCCCGCGGGAGGCCCTGTGGGCTGTCAGCCATCGGCCCACAGTGGTGCCCACGCACATGCTTGGGGGGCTCATGTGCCCAGGATTGGGGGTGTGGCTAGGGCAGCGTGTCACTGCTATCCACATGCATGTTCCTCACTCGGAATCGAGTTATAAGCCTAAGGGCCATGGAAGACAAAGCAAGGGCAACGTTTTAATTTACACTGGCGCAGACAGTGTAAATTGCTGCCCAGCTGCACTGCAGCTCCTACCAAAAGCTGGCTTTGGTTTAACATGAGGAAAATCCGGTATCCAGCAGGGGCTTCCTGGTTTTGCCTCCAGAGCAAGGCTAGATTACACTAATTACATTAACAGAAATTTGAAGTATGTTTTTATTCTTCAGAATTACACCATTTGGTCAAAAGGTGGAAACAACACAGACACTCCTCAATGGACAAGGGGACGGACAAAATGTGGTCCGCCCAGATGAGGCAACGTTGCCCTCAGGGGCAGGCTGCAGGTGGACAGCCCTGAGGACATGACACTGAGTGGCAGGAGCCAGACACAGAAGGCCACGCCCTGCACAATGGCATTTAAGCAGAACGTCCAGGATAAGGAAACGCATGAGGCGGAAAGGGGGTTGGTGGCTCCCAGGAGCTGGGTACACACAGAGACGTAGGAAGGGACACAAAGAAAGTGAGGCTAGAAATGTTCTAGAATTGCCTGGGCGATGGCCGCTCACCTGTATATCTAACAGAACCTCTGCATTGTAACAGACACGCACATCACACCTGTGAAGGCACTTAGAGCCCCGATTACAAACACAAGCCACGAATCACTCAATTGCTCTGCAGAAAGTTCTTGACACTCTGGAGAGCGAGGCCACAGCACAGCTCTAAGAGACGCAGAAAACTCCCCATGTCGGGTATAAATACTAGAAATTTTACTTTTGCATTCATTTTCCCAGTGTGGATTCTCCCTAAAGTGATTTAAAAGTTTGATGGTAATTATTAAACACCATTTTAATGGTTACTAATGTCATTAGAATTATTGTCATCATTGTCCAGGGGTAACAAGGCAGAAGTCTCAGATGTGCATCTGCACATCTGCAATTGACTCCCTCGGGCTTCAAACCCAAAGACCGTCATCCCCTCAACCTCTAGATTAGCATCTTCTCCAAAGGTATTTCATTCTACAACAGACTTGTCATCACAGTTTTGTTCTCAAACTCATTTTGACAAGAGTTGACCTGCCTATGCTGCCAGGCGTGGCGTCATAGTTCACAGCAACCTCAAATTCTTAGGCTCAAGTGATTCTCTTGTCTCTGCCTCCCCAGTAGCTGGGACCACAGGTGTCTGCTACAATGCCTGGCTATTTTTAAAGACAGGGATCTCGCTCTGGCTCAGGCAGGTCTCGAACCTGTGAGCTCAGGCAATCCACCCGTCTCCACCTCCCAGTGCTAGGATTATAGGCGTGAGCCACCATGCCTGGCCTATCTTCCCTTTTTTAATTTTTAAAACGTTTATAGCAGCTTATTAACAAGTTAACACGGCATGTTTGTGAATCAAGCAGTTCAGAAGTCGTAGGGTACATGGGGAGTGAGCTTCCTGACCTGCACTCCCCTCCACGCCACTCCTCTCCACACCCACCATGTCCCTGGGGTGGCACTGTTGACACCCATGCCCTGTCTCACTTTCCCACTGGGTCCTATCAGCTTGTTGGTCCTCTCCTTGCTTCCTGCAATCCATCTTGGAGACTTTTGTCATCAAGAGGTCTAAATTTATTCACTGTTGCATCTCGGGCTGACACCAGGTTTGGGCTCAGGAGGAGCAGTGGCCAGGTGTGGAATGGAATAGGGAACCTGGGGAAGCCACTGCCGCATCTGGGGTCTGAGTAGTACAGACTCGATTGCACTTTCACTTACTGACCTCCAGGAGCCCTCCCAGATGCAGCCCCTGCAGGCCAAGATGGTCACAGGTCCTCAGTGCCGGTGTCCCCCCCACGGAATCCCCACAACCTTCACTGGTAGACACAGTCCGTCTGGTACATACTGACCCACCTCTGCCCTACCCAGCTTTGCTCCCACCTACACACACCAGTCTACACGTCCTAGTGGGGGCGGGTGGGGGGAGGCTGACACTGGAGGACGCAAGTAACTTATGTTTGGTGGTGACCAGAGTGGGCAGGCTGTGGAACCATGGTCAGGGCACCTGTGTGAGGAGGCCTGGGACCTTTCTGACAGCCATGGCTCCCGTGGGCCTTGGTCGCCCCTCTGTACCATGGGCATAAGGGCCCCTCCAGCCCACAGTTCAAGTATGCCAAGCTCTGCTACAGCGCCCGGCTCTGGGACCCGAGCATGGTACTCAGGGCTCAGCCCCCTTCTCACGGCCGGTCTCTTTGAGGGAAGAGTGCTGAGGACGGTTGCCAGGGCTTCCGGTGACTCGGCCATG